AATAAAAAATGCTGCAAAACTATTAGGGCATCTGTCTATTATGCTTATTGTACAGGATGGTTCATACTTACCTTCCTTTTCAGACTTGAGTTTCTGCTTATTATATGAGCAACACATTTAATATCACAAATTATCCAAAGTTCATATTCCATAAAAATTTCTGCTGAATTACAAGCAGAAGGAATTTTTTCTATTAAATGCTGGTCTTGCTAACTCCCAAGGTTGGGTGTGTTATGACAATTTTCATAGCCACATCTCAAAAACATATCCTAGCTGCCTGCTCAAGAAGACTCCAAGAATACATGTAACTGGATTATATGATTTAAGAGACTTTTTTTTTTTTACATTTTTGATTAAATCTGGGCTCCACAAAATCCAGTTATTGTCTGAGCTTATGAATGACCATTTAATAAAGGCATCATGTATTAGGTGAGATTTATCACCAACCTTTAGGTTTACAATTCTGGCAAAGAATGTCATGACAAATAAGTCTGCATGTAAAGTAAGTAAGTAAGTAAGTAAGTAAGTAAGTAAGTAAGTAAGTAAGTAAGTAAGTAAAACTAGGTGTGTTCTGCTATATTTATCTTGTTTTTAAAGCACCTGTGTGAAATTCCAATTGAACTGCTGGAAATAAAACATTCTGAAATCAAGTTTAGATCTGATATTGAAATCAACATTCTTATTTGGATTACTAGATTTGGTTGCCACAATTTACTGCTTACTGAAATATATTTAGTTACCTAGAGATTTAATCAAACTTATATTGTTCATATTTTCTCCTTACATTTGGTCTCAGCATAGATCCAATCATTCTTCACTTATTTCAATAAAAAAGGAATGCTAGATTCATATTTCTAAAGGCTTTCACACATTCACCCTTTATATAAAAACCTATTTCTGTGACACAAGATATTTCTAAATACATGATCAGAACCATAGTACTGAAAGTCAGTGAAGACAAAAAATTTGTTGTAAATATCAAGGCCACATTTTGAATGTTGTTATTTGTAGATGTTGACTTCCAGCAGCTGTATATATTGCTTTCATTGCAGTGGAACAAACCCAAACTTTGAAATTCCTTGAAATGATTTTTGATTTACTTTCTTGAAGGGATAAAGAGGTATTTCAACTGAAATTTTAAGAAACCATATAGTCTTGCAATTGAAGGTAGAAATTATATTCCTGGACTTTGTTCCTGGACTTTCAGCCAAATTTCCAATGGATTTTGTCCATATACTAGGCAAAGAATCAATAAATAATTGGTTGGTTAGAAGATAAACAAAAGATTAAAAAGTTTAATGTATTTGGTCTTTCCAGTGAGATGTTTGACTACAAGTCCATTATCATTAGGGTATGTGGATGGAATGGTGTAATGCCAATTTTTAAAGCATTTGTATAGCATAAGATATTAAATTATGCCTCTTGAAGGACAAAAATAAAAGACTCATATTCTAAAATACTGGAAACACACATAAAGCATTGAATATGCATTGTAGAAAGCATACTTTGGAAGCACATCCCCCTGTTAGATTGTTTAAATTAGGACTTGATCAATTAGGTCTCTTAAATACTAAATACTTATTAAAGTATAATAAATAGTTCTACTGGGAACAAGGAAAACAATTTGGTAAATTATTAGTTTCACATCCAAAACAACTGAATCAAAGTAGGATTATACCACAATAGGAAATTTTGGAGGAATAATTCATAGAGACAACAACAAAATTAGCTTTTTGTTTCTAGGGTATAATAAAACTTTATATTCCAGGAATGTACGCATACTAATTGAGAAAAATGCTTTTTCAGATAGAATAAATTTTCCAGAGATCTTGTTGTTTCAAAAGAGTTAGCTGCACCTTGAACTAATATTTGACACCATTGAAATAACAAATCTGGGAAAGAAAAAAAAAACCCCTCAGTTGCCAGGACATATGGGATTCCCTCAATGGTAGTAAGACAATAAGGAAAGCATGCCTCTTATTTTGCTAGAGGTTCACAAGAAATCTTTCGAAAATAGGGACTTTGCCTAAGTCTAAGAAAACTATGAGGCATATATTACAGTAAAACAAGAAAGGATCCCAGCAATTGTGTGAATCGTCATTCTCTAAGGTTGATGCCAATCTTTTAACAGCTACTGTACTTCTGTCACACAGCTGAAGAAAGCATTACATTCAATAAGCCACTCAAGACAATTCAGTTTCATTAAAGGACATCAAGTATCTGATAATGTTAGGCTTATGGTTGACCTATTAGATTTGTGTAAAAATGAAAATGAATGAACCATGTTGCAATTGTTGGATGCAAAACAGTCCTTGATATGTTGCAAATTAAATTTTTGGAATAGTCACAAAGCTATGTTATTAAGTCGAATTGAATTGTCAATTTAGAAACAGATATTAACTTTCATTTTTGGAAAATCTCACAACAAAATCCATACTGAAACATAAACAATCTGGATTCCTTGCAGAACTAAAGTTTGTTGGGGTTTTTTTGTTTTGTTTTGTTTTGTGCTTGTGGTTAGTTTGATTCTATTGGCCATATTCAATTACAAGAGTGAAGAAAAAAAAAATCACTATCTGTGTCAATGCGCTTCTTTGTCTGCCTGATTTGTGGCTGCTTACTTTCCAGATAAATTATTCTATTTTGAAACCAGTTGAATTGATTTGATTGATTTTTATCCTGTCTTTTGTTTAGAAGTGGAAAGTGACATTCATGGTTTTCACAGCAGAAAAGCCGGTGAGGTTGACTGGGCTCAGAGTGTGTGCCTGGCTCAAAGTCACTCAGAGAGCTTTTGTAGCTGAAGGCAGACTTGAATTGTTTTCCCAAGTTCCATTCCAGTACCTTAACCACTATTTCCCATGCCATGAATTGGCCACAAGGATATCCAAAAAAAGAACACAATCAATGTTCAAGAACTGGAGATGCAAGGGAGATGGAATTTCACTAAGAATATAGGGAAATTTGCAATACACCAAGGAATACTGAACAGAATATAAGATACTGGTATCGAGGGGGAAGACAGCAGGAAAAAAAAAAACTTTTTATTTCATGCACTCCACTTGCTCTTCTTGCCTGAAACAATAAATTTAAGAAAAAAGTGTTGACAAATTGATGATTTGCAGAGGAAGGTTCTTAGGGGTGCAATAGGGAGGAAAACAATAAATGCTTCAGGTACATTCAGCATTTTAAAAGCTCATCTTATTTGATTCAAGATTTGAAAAGTTCACAAGTAAGTTTCCAAACTTTGCTGAAGAACAAATTGTTATATGGTATGAGATTTACAGTTATTATAAGGAACTTTAATATATACTCTTGTTTTCCATTACCCAAGTCAAAAGCATTATTTAAGGATGTTATAGAGAAGTTATTATACTGTAATTCAACCACAACAACAATTTTTCAATGAGAAGAGCCATGAAGCTCAACATCTGAATTTTTGATATTTTTAAAAAAACAAACATAATTAGCCTTTTAAAACATATTTGTGTTAATTATTAACACAACTTTAAATTTATTAGCTATATGGACATCAATATTTTTCTCCTCCTTCAAATAATATTTTTGTCAAAGGGAGAAAAGAAAAAAAAGACCAGTGTTGTTCAAGTGTTTAATCAGATGCCAATTTTCTGCTTATGATCCTCTTCCTTAAAAAGCAGAACTTTGTCAAGGCTGAGGGTCTAACCTACAAGAAATGTTTGGATTGTAGTGGCTTGGTTTCTGATTTTCAGTTTCTGCATCATAACTTTGAAGAATAATTACTGCTTCATAAAAACGAAGAAAGGCATGATCTTGAATGGATCTTCTGACTAGAACAATTCCAATGGATCTTCTGAATCACAGTTCATATTGTTTTAATTAAGGAATTCGGTTCATCATAGAAAAATCCTCTTGAGGTCTACTTCTCACTTGGATTTCTGTTACTTATCATTGGTTTACATCAGATAAAAGGAAAAAGAATTAAGGGAATCGTATTTTTCCCCCTCCCCATTAATTCCTGTTGTTGAATACTGTTCCTGGATTTTTTCAGTGTCACAATTTTATTTGTTAGCTTATCTTGTTCAACCATATTTCAGTTGAGCTAAATAGCAAACATATTTGCAGCTTTGTTTTCATGCAATCAAAATAAATAAATAAAAACTTTATTTCATATGAACACTAACAAAACGTTGGCTAGAACTAAAGGTTAATGATATACTTTCAAACAAGCCTCGTGAAATCTGAACCCTTTGCTGATGTCCTTGGCTTGCTATAGAAGACACCAACAAAGCCAGAAAAAGTAGATGAATAATACTTGTGGTTAATTATAACCTTTATTTACAAATTAAGGCCACATTCCAACACATGGTTAAGATTAGTGCTGGATCAAATTATTTGGACCAATGGTTTTAGAACTTTGGATAGCAAATACCTTTTAAAACATTTCTCTCTCTCTTTCTTTTCCTCTCTTCCTCCTTTCCTTGCTTCCCTCCCTCCCATTATACCCTTCCTTCCTTCCTTCTTCCTTCCTTCCTTCCCTTCCTTTTCTTTTTTTCTTTTCTTTCTTTTCTTACCTTTAAATATAAAACGGATGCTCCCACACAAATACTTTTGTTAACAAGGTAGCAAATCCTTTGGTGTCCAATCAAGAATGAACTATTCAACCAAAATTCTGAGGAAGAATTTTTAGAACATTCCAGGGACAAAATGATTTTATCTAATGAAAAATTCTGATCAAACGTGAAGATAACTTTCATTCATTTCATCAATAAATTCATTTAATTTATTTAACCCCCGTCAATTTCCTGAATTATTGTCTGTGATCATTAACTTTTAGGCATGGTATGCTGGTTATTAGGTAAAAAATGTGTATTATTACTTTCAGTTAAAATTCAAAATGTTGTTATAATATTTTTGTTACCATTATTTTGTTTGTTTTTGAAGGAAAGCCATGGAATGATGAATGAAAAAAATGTAAAACGTGGAACAATCTTTTGACATTTTAACATCACACTAAAAATGAGTACAGAAAAAAACCAACAATATTTTATTTATAATCTTATTTTAGTGTTTGAACTACAAATCCTGGTTCTAGAGTTGTTTAAAAGATCATGGGTTTTATAGATGCTCACATGAAAATTAATTTCTTGGATTTTTTCCTCCTTCCACAGAATTGTCCCTTCAGGAAATACAGAAATGTGAAAAAATAAAAGAAAAATAAAATATTTTGTTTTGTTTGTTTCTGTTCCTTGATTGTTCTCGTGAATCTACTGCTAACATCCATTCCCCCTCTGAACCATTTCAAAAAGGGCATGAGAAGAAAATGAAATGAAAAAAGACAAAATAGACCGAATCTCACCACTAGAATTCACCATAAAAATTCCCAAAGCATTAACAGAATTCTTACAAAAATTCCTAGACCAGTTCTTTAGAGAATCAAGTTGTTCTATGAAAAATATGGCAAATGGGATAGAAGGGAAGGTATGGGAGAGAAGAAAGGAAAGGGAAATCAGTAGAGTAGGGTAAATAAATGCAGCAAAAAGAGGTTCTGAGGAATACACATAATTTTGTCTGCTTTCGCTCACAATAGAATTTTTAATAAATAAATTTCTTTTTTTGTAAAGACACTTTTTTTGAAACAGTAGATTTAGCCCAGTCAGCTGTGTCATTTTTTTTTAATAAACTGTCTTTTTTTGTTTTAAATTCCCCCTTAAATCTGTAAATGGTTTAGATCTGAGTCTCTTGTACATTGTCTTTAGAGTTCATTCGGATCAATAATGGTTCATGCACTGAACTGTGTATGGAATTTATTGTGTTAACTGTTGTTGTGTGGTTGAAAGGAGATTTATAAGAGTTATAGTGGTTTAAGTGCTCATGCTCTATTGCTGGCATGGGCAAATGACTTTCTATAGGTGTATCACCTGTAAGTTCATCATCCACATTAATGATTTCTACAGTCCGTGTTGGAGCATGATGATTTTGCCGGTGATGTTGTTTTCTCATTTTGTAAAAAATGACCAACATCACAGCAGCCATAAGTGTGATTGCCACAAAACAACCAATTATGATTTTGGTAGTCTTCATAACCTCATCTATTCCTGGGATCCCGTTGCTAAAATCTGTCACAGGAATTGTGAAAGCTTTTTCCATTGACCTTGTGCTCTGTGGTGTGAGAGAGGTTGTTGCATTAGTGGTGTCCCAATCAATAACTGGTGTGGGCCAAACCTGTTCTGTGGTCCGTGCCTCATCCTGAGAAGGTTCCACAGTTTCTACTGTGATGGTTGAAAAATAAGTAATACACTCCTGTGCGGTTACATTAAGAGTTGCAGAAGCTGTTGTATTCCCCACAGAGTTACTCACCAAGCATGTATACAAGCCTGTGTCTTGCGCAGTTACCCTTGTAAAGTTTAACGTGCCATCACTGAGCACAGAAATCCGAACCCTATAAGCCCCATGTGTTATAACAGATCCATTTGGAGTAATCCAAGATATAGAGGTCAGGGATGTTGATGCTCGGCATTTAAGCTCAGCAGCCATGCCTTCAGTGACATTGAGGTCTGTTGGTGGCTCCACAATCACAGGAGCATAGCATGTGAAGTAGTTTAGGTCCAACTCACCAATGTATCTTCCTTTCAAGCTGGGAGGTGTGTTGCAACGGGCACAGCATGCAGTGTTGGAGGGTGCTTTGTCTTTAATCCACCAGCTGAGCCATAGGATGTCGCAGTTGCAATTCCAAGGGTTATGATGCAGGTGGATTCTTTCCAGACGGAGAGGTGTGAAGAGGTCATGAGGCAGTAGTGTTAGATTGTTGTGGGCCAGATTGATCTCTACTAGTGACTGAAGGTTATCAAAGGCATTTCTTTCAATCACCTGAATCTGGGACTGGATCAGCCACAATTTCTGCAAGTGCATTAATCCTTGGAAAGACCCTGGCTTGATAACAGTTAAGTGGTTCCCAGAAAGATCTAGCTCATCCAGTTTTACAAGTGGTGTGAGGTTAGGAATTTCCCGAAGGTTGCACATAGCAAGGTTCAAATACCTCAGATTGGATAGACCTTCAAAGGCACCTTCAGAGATATATGAAAGCCTTTTTAATTCCCCCAGATCTAACCTCCTCAGGGAAGGGATTCTATTAAAAGCATAAGAAGGAATACTTTCAATGGGGTTGTTTCGCAACCAAAGTTCCTTCAATTTTGACAAGTACACAAATGCCCCATTAGGAATGGTGCTAAGACGATTGTCAAAGAGTTCCAGAGTATTGAGATTAGCCAGACCATTGAAGGCCCCAATTTCAATTGTTCTAATGTGATTCCTGCTCAGTTGCAAGACTTCTAGATGCCTCAGGTGTTTGAAGCTATTCACTTTGATTATTTGAATTTGGTTCTCATGGAGATTCAATAACCGAGTGTTAGTAGATATAGCATCGGGGACCTCTCTCAGATTCTTTCTCACACAAATTACTTTGCTAAACTGATTGCTACAGGAACAGACAGAAGGGCAAGTCTGAGCTCTGACCAAACCAGCAACCACAAGAAGTTGAAGAGCCAGTAGCACCACAAGCAAGGGGTCAAATAGGGCCCTGTTAAACCTAGGACCTATCATTATCTGCTGTGGATGTAAGCTCATCTTGTTCAACATTCATAATTTATTTGGAGTTGGTCCTTCAGGAGTTCCAATAGTCTAAAGAAAAAAGAGAACATCAATATTAGTATCAAATATTGCATTTTTATTTCATACTTATAATTGTGCATTCACACATCTGTTTAAAAATATATTTATCTAGAAACAAACTACTTGAGGATTAATTGTTAATATAAGTTAACAATTAAAATTACCCTTAGTTATTATAACTTTTTCTTTTGGGTGCAAAAAAATATATTGTAAAAGAAAATAAAGCGTATAATGAAATATAATTCTAACTATTAGGGGAAATGCCTATTGAAAATACTGTTTGGCCAAGATTACAGAACTATGAACATTACTTTAAGCCAAGTCATTGCTTTCAGCAGACATTCCAGATATACTAAAGTTTTGCTGATCCAATTCTCAACCACTATTATCTTGGCTGGGAATTAAGAAAAAGAGTCCAGCACCTCTGAAGGTAACCAGCCAAAGACTGAATTATTCATTTATAAAATCAATCTGAAAATTAAGCTAAATTATCAGAATTATATTATTCATTTCAATAAATCTAAGTCTAATTAGAACACCATTTAAAAGGCTATTAAAACATTTATAATTAACTTAAAGACAAGGGTATATTACTGGATAATTCACTACTGTAATAACATTATTTAAAGAAGAACATTCAGAACCTTTATCTGGAATTTACTTTAAGAGGTTTGTAATTATTGGATGTACAGGTCAGTTGGAAACTAACATCAGTTCTTAGCAGAACTTCTAAAACTGAAGATGGAAATCTATAACATTAACCTTTGGATAAGGATAAAATGATGACTGAATTTTCAAAATGAGATTTATATTTTTCACTTAGGGTTTGGCAAGCCTTTCAAATAAAGCAGTCTAGCATACAAGTTGTCCATACCCACCAACAGTAAAATATCTGACCAGTTTTTATTTGCTTAACCATCTGGATAAAAGATAAATGAAAAACTTGAACAAATAGCTTATAATAGCCCTTACTGCAGAGAGCCCATAAAGGCTGTTTCAAATAATGAAACAGTCTAATAAGACCTTGAAAAGTGTACTTTTTATGTGCACTCAAGAGTATGCCAAAGCCTGTCTGCCATTTTGCACATGCAAAAATAACAAAAAATAGCCTTAAAGCACACAGGTGTGCTTTACCCTTACCATGCATTGCAATATATGGAATTATGGATATGCAAAACCATACATAATGGGAAACAGAGATTAAGAGATTGATTGCATATTTTTTTTTTAAATGTGTGGTGATGTTTTGAACTCTAGTTCATTAAGCCACTAAATGACCAAAAGTAAAAAAAATTGAAAAAGCAGATTTATATGCAGTTTTTATGCTGCATTCTTTTAATATACACCCCACCCTTTATATGTAATTTAAGAACTTAGTGTCTCATACTTCCCCATGCTGGTGCTCTTCAGAAGTTTTGAGTGGTGGGTTAAGTTACCCAAAGCACATTGTTTTATGGGGGAGGGATCTTCTCTGAATCATATTAGGTTTGCAAATCTTTCCTCCAGGGAGGAAAATGCCTTTGATTATTTATGCCAAGGGATGTCCAAAAGCTTTTATATCTTGAATACATCTGCTGACAGAATACTTATTGTTTGCTTACTTCAGGAAACAGATATAAAAAAAGCTTCAAGTGATTTTATTTCCTCATACACATTGTCCCCAATCCTCATATTTTGACCATTGCAGGACAGAAGCTGTCATTAGTAATGTGTCCTGAATACAAAAATAAAGGGTTGACAATTTCCAAGTTACCCTCTAAAATTGCTTCTTTCATATCTTTGAATAAGTGAAAAAGAACTTTCAACTTTGCAAATTATTATTATCATTCTAAATCTCTGAGTGCTGATTCATTTGTAGTTGTACCTAAACCCAGCTCTGGATTCATTTTGAATCTCTTGCTCACTGCAAGGTCCCTGTGCTGTAGAGATTAATGAAGGTTCCTATAAATCAGCCCAAAGTGAAGTCTTATAAATTACAGCAAGCTCTAAGCACATTAATAACCCAGAGCTCACAGATATACAATACACATGTTTAGTAGAACAAAAATACTATCTGCTAAAGGCTTTCCTTTAAAGCTTCAAACAGTTTAATTTCATATCAGTGGGGGAAATCTTGTATTTTGAAAAATAGGGAAAATATATTACTGTTCACATAGCAATCTATTTAGAAAAATAATTAACTTATGAATTTATGCAGGTATGGGAATATCGGATAGTTCCTTAGATTTTACTCCTACTGAAAAATGAGTAAACACTGTCATCAACAAAACTAATTGGTATCATTTATTTTGACCTTTGGAAAATAACTTAAATTTCCACCTCATTGCAAGACATTTTAAATCAGGTTTTGTAAACTTGTAATCTCTACTGATTAGGGAGAGTTACAAAGCAGCTGTTTCATTATACTAATGGATGGTTGATCCTTGGCCTATCTAATCCTCATTTCAGTAGTTCTTGAAAGGGCATTGATCTTCTGAAGTCTTTCTACTGTTTTAGACTCCTTAACATTCACCTTAAGGAATATAAGTGAAGGAAATAAAACAAAATAAAACTAATCATGGAATTCTAAAGAAAACCTCCAGTAATAGAAACATTCTACATATTCAGAGGACAGTGTTTATAGACCTATCACAGTTACATTACAATCACAGTTTATCCAACAGAATGTATTTGGAAGGAAAATCACAATTACATATGAAAGTGGAAACGCTATTAAGAATCCTCTGTCCAGCAAATGATAATTATAATCTTGTCCTTTGTAACTATGGAAACCTTTGGAAGGTAAAATGGAGTATAGATATTTTTGTGGTCTGCAGTTTACAAGCTGTATGTAATAATAAATGAGGAATGGATCACTAGAAGAAATCAAATGATTTCACTTCCGTTGCATTTTGAAAATAACAAAGTGGTACAGTGAAATAAATTGTTTTTGTAAAAAAAAAATACTTGTTTTATCAATACAGAACAGTGACACATTGTATATTTATATTTGGATTTTGGGATTTTTCCTTTAGCAGGAGGGACTTCTACTGCCAAAATTAGCAATATGACATTTTGGGATAATGTCTCTCAGTAGCTTCACAGCAATTCTATCCTTTCTGTGCCCAGTGAAGAAAACCAAGGTCAGAGTGTATTTTCAATTAAACTCCGGGTGTTACAAAGTACAGCACAGAGAGAACTGCAAAAGCACATTATTACCAGATCTATCACTACTGAGCAATGAATAGGTTACAGGCACTTCTGCATATTATATGTGAACATGTGTGATTATTACAATCAGAAAAAAAAAGCTGAGGAAACAAGTGACATAAAATTAACATCAAAGCTATGTGATCACTCAGAAGAAACTCTAGCAACTGCTGATTGAATAAGCGGAAGATGTTCTTTGGGAGTTAGAAATGCCTGCCAAAGGCCTTAGCACAGAAGTCAAAGATTCTTGTACAAAGGTTGAAGGAACAACTGGTAAAATGCCAGTTAACTTTCTCTAAGTGACAGAAATTATGCTACAGCAACATGGATGATCAATGCAGCTTGGATCTCTGTTGTGAGATAATGCAAATCTCACTGTAGATTTGTAGCCAGAGTTAGTAACATATTTCAGATATCTTTTCACAGGAAAAGACATTTTAATGTAACAGTGAAAGACTATTCAATGTCTGGATTAATAAGGCCAAGTCTATCTAGTCCAACACATGATATTAGGTTATTGTAGGTGAGCACAGTACATTAATTCATCTGAGTAGTGTAAAGAATCTGAGATTAGAATTACTAAGAAAATCAGAAAGAAGGGATCATGAAGCATCAGAAAATGAACATACAAGAAAAATAAGCATATTTGGTGCCTCTCAAAATTGGGATAGAGGATGAGATGTTCACACAGTCAATATTACTATAAGATACTGTAAAATATAGCCATTTTACTTTACTGTAAAGTAAAGCCACAACATTTATGTATGACAAAGATTTGTGTTCAATTGCATTTGTGCTTTATGCGCACAGATCCTCAAAGAATGCTGAAGTAATAGTCATGATTCAAGTTCATTATTATTATTTGAGGATACATTCCCAATTAGTTATAATTTCAACACTTAAAATAGTTTATTACTAGTAGCATTATTGTCTATCATTTACAAATACAATAAAGGGTATTTTATTTTGCTCCTGTTGTCATAATCCCATACTGTAGCTCAAAATTTTGGAATAACAACAAAACATATTTTTTTCTAGACTTTGATGTATAAATAATGATTCATGTATAAACTATTTGCGATAGATAGATAGATAGATAGATAGATAGATAGATAGATAGATAGATAGATAGACGGACAGATAGATTTTTTAAAGGCATGCCTGTTCCTTCTATGGTGTTTTTGCAAAAATTCTAAAAGAAATTTCAGTAATCTTATCAAAGTCTTGGGACTTACCTAAAAATTGTTATTATGATTTCCTTGAAGAGAACCTTGAAAATAAGATTTGAATGAAACCTGGTGATAGCTGTTACTAAAGGTAAAGGTTCCCCTCACACATATGTGCTAGTCGTTCCCGACTCTAGGGGGTGGTGCTCAACTCCATTTCAAAGCTGAAGAGCCAGCACTGTCTGAAGACATCTCCGTGGTCATGTGGCCAGCATGACTAAACACCAAAGGCGCTGTTACCTTCCCACCAAAGGTGGTCCCTATTTTTCTACTTGCATTTTTTACGTGCTTTCAAACTGCTAGGTTGGCAGAAGCTGGGACAAGTAACAGGAGCTCATCCCGTTAAGCGGCACTAGGGATTCAAACTGCTGAACTGCCGACTTTTCGATCAACAAACTCAGAGTCTTAGTCCCGGAGCCACCACATCCCTTTAGCAGTTACTAGAAAGATATTATTTAATTAAAATGATGGTCTAAATTTTTAATTGCACCCTTTCATTTATTTATGTATTTATTAGTATATTTCTATCCTACCTGCTTTCTGAGTTATTACGATTCTTTTGGAAAGTCAAGTCTCCTCCTTTTAACCCCACAA